TCTGCAGTTCTTATCCTTACTCCCCTCCTGGGGGAGTTTTGGCTCGGCCTAAGCTGTGGTTGACTCCCAGGTTTGAGGTGTGCACTGACTCCCTGAGGTGAAGTGGCATTTTCCCTAGGCTGTTTGTAAGGGATGGTGGGGTCCTTCTGGATAGGACCAGATTTTCTCCTCGCCCCCCTTTTACTTGGTTGAGTGGAGCTAGCTACGGTGGTGGGGTCCCTGGGTTGCTCCTTCACCAGGGCCCTCTGAAGTTTTCTGCAGGTTTTTGGCGCTTAGCTTCAGGCTTCCTGGGGCTCGGACAGACTCTCCTGACATGTCCGGTCCCTCCACAATTAAAGCAGATCATTTGAATGGTGGGACTAGTTGCTTGCGTTGGGGCAACTCCTGACAGGTTTTCAGAAACTGCTCTCGTTTCTCTCGCTAAACCCGACGGTCCCGCCATTAGTAAGGTCACCATCTCCATTAGTTGGGACACCTGAGTCTTAAGGAGTTCAACTTCAGGGGTGTCACCTCCCACATTGACTACCCGGACCCCTGCAACAGAGTCTGACTGTCTCTCTTTGTCATCCAACATGGCTTCCTCCTCTCTCACACAGTCCGGATCAAGTCTGGATAGTTCAGGAGGCCACCATCTCGCCGAGTTCGTAATAGAATAGCAATGGGGTCTAGGGGCCTGGCTCCCCGTAGGACTTGTTGCGCCCGAACCTCATCTACTCTTTCAGGGCCTATTCCCCTTTTTAGCAGAATTTGGTATATTATCTTGTCTAGACGTCCCATGTAACTGGAGAGTTTCTCCCCTTCATTTTGGTAGGTATGCTCTAGCTGATAGATGAGGTCTGAAGCCTTTTCAGTACGCCCAAATACATCTTGTAAAATATCTAGATAGTCCTGAGCAGTGCAATCCTGTTTGCTAAGTTTTAGGTTGCGAATGGCCTCCAATGCAGGGCCCCTTAGGCTCTCCGTAATCCTCTGTTTCTTGTGGGCCTCAGGAATGTCCCATTCACTTAGTGCTTGCATGGCTTGGTCTAGCCACTCTTCAAAGCCATCCTCCCCGGTAGGTATTGGTTGCCTACCCGAGAAGAATCGGAGCTTCCGATACATCCCTGTGTATGGAGAGGGGTCTTTGCGGCATTTTAACATGAAGTCCCCCAATGCAGTGAGGAATTCCGGGCCTATGGTGGCTAGAGGTGTCTGGGACAGGGGGTTCTTCCCTCTCAGGTTTTGCACAACTAGGCCCGGGGGTGTTCAACTGAAGTAACTGGAGCCTTGTCCCATCCTCTATTTGGATATTGGCTCCTTGGAAACTGTCAGGGATCCCCTTCTTCCACTCTAGCAGGGCATATGCCAGGGTGGTGTCTGAGGCGGGTATCACATCTATCACCCACGTTTTCTTTCCCTCTGTGGGTAGTGCATTCACTATCTTGGTAATCTGTTCTTCGGTCCCCATTTCTCTGGGGAACTCGACCACTACACTCCGTTCTGGGCAAGCATTTTCCCTGCTGCACCACTTGGTCGTGGCTGCGACGTCCATCTTAGGAGTTGGTATAGGGCACTGCTTGAGTGGTTGTTGGGTAATTGAGCAGCAAGAATCCCGGACGAGCCCCCACGTGTAGCACTGCTCCTTGGGACAAGCTGGAATATATTATGGGTCCTGCGCTCAATAGATCCAACCCTAAGCAAACCCAATCCCTCTGGCACAACTGGTAATGAATAGCAAATACCCCGCCAAGAAATTCGCTGACACAGGGTTAAATGAAACAAGAACAATTTTATGGAGAATGAAATGTAGTGTAGAGGGGTGGGGTTCCCCTTTCAACTTCAAAACTTACTTTTCTTCTTTTATGCAATGCAGTAAATTTGGTCTGCCACTAGAGGGCTTCACAGCCAAGAGTCTCCAGATGGCAGAGTCGCACTTTAAGCAGAATACAACTGATATCAAACAAATAAACTTACTTATACTCTATCAATGAAATGTATTACCCACACCGGTGTATGATTCTGCTTCTGAGGGGCATTAGCCAAAAATCACCTCAGAGTCAGAACAGAATACAATAAAGAGGTACCTCTAATAAGGCTACTAAGCCAGATTCCCCCCACTTCAGTCCTTGTAACGGTGGAGCTCTAGTTGGTGCACGTTTAGTCCTTACAATGAAGTAAATAGCAGCTGAAGGCTTCTTTGGAGTTTCAGCTGGTGTGGGTTACATCCAATTTCACTAGGTTTCTGGGCTGAGAGGGTCCAACCTCAGTGTCTAAAGGCAACACAAAGCACCCCAAGACCAGGGGCAGTCGCAGGATGCAATCTCCCAGTATGTGTCAGTCCCCGGGGCAGACAGTCTCAATTACACTGGTGGTGAGGGACAAAGCAGGCAGAGGGATCTGTGGCTTGCACAGGGCCCCGGATGGGTGAGATCCCAGCAGTGGGTGTGCGGATGTCCCAGTCTATATGCAAAGTGTAAATGGTGTGTCTTACTCTCTCCAGGGGGACAGCTCACCAGACTCTGAACACACAGCAGGGTCCCTCTATCCGCGCTGAGTGCTGTAGTGCCTCCTCCTCTCCTTGGACGGGCTCCACATGTCCCTGTCTTTTCTCCAGCCTCGTGTCTCTCTGTTCTCCCCTTCACTTCCTGCTTCCCTCCCTCTCCCAGCGTTCTGTGCTGTGTAGTGGATGAGTCATGAACTTGGCAGAATGCCCAGGTTTCACAAATAGGAGAGAGAGAGAGAGAAAGGACTGACTGCTGATCATGTGATTCCTTCTGAATCCTCTTGTACAAGGAGCCTGCTACACACACACATATATATATATATATACGTTTGAAGGGTATTTCGCCAATCTACTCAATAGTTATGCATAGGAGTTTTCTCATTTATGACAAGACAGGTGGAAATATAAAAAGTCTGCCCAATCTACCTCCTTGTTTTTAATTTGTGTGCATTTTGTTCATGCGGTGTGGGTTGGGATCAGCAATTGTCACTTTATTCACCAACAGCGCTATTATGACACATTTATCTTAGATAGAAATACTTATATATTTATTACATTTATACAGCTTGGTGTTAGTGGTTTGGTAATTTGCACTGTCATTTGTTTTCTTTTGAGTAGTTAAGAACATGTTTAGGTAGAAGTGAGTTTACACCAAACCTAGGTTTGGATAGCTCACCCATTCATTTTCTTTTATTTGCATTTGTTAGCATATCCCTGACATGCAGCATCATGCTGAGGAATTTTAATAAATAGATTACAGACGCTGAGGGGTTAGTTGTGTGTTTTTCAGGGAATACTAAATTAAGTATGCACAGAAAAAGAATATCTTAACCTGTTGACGTCGGCCGGATGCATATATACAGATGCTCAGCGTGTGGGCCTTAACGCCGAGCAACCGCATATATACGGCCCTGTTAAAACCACTCAGCCGGAAGTGATTAGCAAGCTCCTGATGCATACTTGCGATCAGGAGCTTTCATGTGACCGCTGTCACAGCCAATCACAGCAAATTTATATAGATATATATATATATATATATATATATATATATATATATATATATATATAACAGTGTGTAAGTATATGTATGTATAGTATGTATGTGTATATATATATATATATAGAGAGAGAGAGAGAATATACTGTATATATAAATATATATGTACATATATATGTCTTATTTGCCAAGTGTATGCAATCAGGTCTGCAACATGTAGAAGTGATAAGATTATGGGAAGAACTTCAGATTTATGGTTATTGATTCTCTGTATAGATGTCCATCAGCCTTTCTCAACTGGAGGTTGATAGGAGTTCCTTGAGCAGTAAGCAGTTGATCTCCTGTCTGACCAACAATGTAGGAAGGCACTACACTGACACCAGTTAAATGGGTCCTTCTCCCACCGACAACTAATCAACAACTAAGGGGCACTTGTCTCACTCATGACCAATGTAAAGAATTACTACATTGACCACCAATGTAAGGGGTCACTTATCACTGACTATCAGTACTACATGTAAGTGGTTACTACAGTTTTTAATGCCTGTCTTTCTTTTTTGGCCAATATTATTATTAGTTTAGTTTAATGATTATAATTGAAAGGAATTACAATACATATCTATATATATATATATATATATATATATATTATAAAACACCGCCCCCCCTTTTTTTTTTAATAAGTGATCAACACCCTGTTCTCAGCTGCATAAGGATCTGAGGGAGCTGGGGAGGAGAAACAGTAGTACACAGATCTTCTCATTGAATGGCTGTGCAGAGGGGGTATGTAATCACAAGTCTGATTGTTGAAGGAGAGCAGGCTGAGTTCTCAGCATTGTGGTCAGTTTTTAATAGTAAAGCAGATTGATCGGTAGGATCCACAGGTATTTCACACAAAGGAAGCAATAGAAAGAGAACAGGATACTTTCTCATTCAAATACATGGTACAGCAGGCACTTATCAGAAAAATGTAAATTTTAATTGACATATTCTTTAACCTCCCTAGCTGTCTGATTATGTCAATATTTCTGTGCTCAAAGCGGTTTTTTTTGCATGGAAATAATGTTGTTTTTTTTATTGTAGGCCTGTAATTTTTAGGAATAACTCACTGAAATCTGTCCGAACAAGAGTCTAGTAAACAACCTGGGTATGATAAAATTTGAAACACGAAATCCTAAATTATAATATAATAAATAATCATAAAAAATAATAATATAATAATATTTAATTCAATAATATAATCAAACCAAAAACACTGAAATTTGATATATAGCGCCAAGTTCGCACATCACTGAGCTCAGTCGCAAAATCGTTTTCAGTGTCTGATGACAAATTTCCCCACGAATCATTATCACTCAATTCTGCAAGTGGTCCTAATTTACTATCACTGTCCTCTAGCTGGTCTAAAACCGCTTTTGACCTAAAGGGGCGCTTTTTGGACGCCATGGACATTTCTCAGTTTCAAGGCAGAAAGAACAGTAAAAATGCAGGCAGGGCACAGGACAAAGCACTAGGAACAAAATATATGTGAAATGGTTTGATACAGTAATGTTATACTATGTGATTTTAGTGTATTTAGTGAATGTCACTTTTTAAAACTTTTAAATTTCCTGCCGGTTCCGGCCCCCATACGTCCCTATGCTCACAGGGACCGGAACCCAGAAGACGGATGCCGGCATCGGCCCGGAGGAGATGGCCGGGCACGCTGCAGGGGGGACATCGCGGGAGCGAAGGACAAGGTAAGTGAAACAGGGATCCCAGAGCAACGCTGCAGGGTAATCCAGAGTGTAGGTTGGGGTTATCGCTTTTGGTACTGAAAGTTAACCCCGAGCTACACTTGGGAATACCGCCAGGGAGGTTAAAGCAGAGCTCCACCCAAAAGGGGAAGTTCCGCTTTAAGGATTGGTCCCTCGCTCCCCGTTAAGGATTGGCACCTTTGGGGAGCAGTTACCCGAAATCGACAGGTACCCGCTGTCTTTCCCTCTTCTCTCCCCATAGTATTCTGGGACAGGTCTCAGAAGACTATGGGACCATTCATAAAGTGCAGCACTACTTGCGCATGCACAGCGAGCCCCCGGATGTGAAGCCGCAAGCTGTCACAGCTGGGTGCCCACACTGAAGATGCCGGTTCCGGGAACACAGGGCGGCCAGTGAAACTGACTGCAGGGGGGACACCGCAGGATCAAGGGACAGGTAATTTTGTTTTTTAAAGGTCAGAAGCTACAGTTTTTGTAGCTTATTTATTTTTTTCACTGGAACTCCGTTTTAAGGAGCTGCTAAAAATTATCTGATCCACTATGAGCTGTAGATATAATTATTTTTAGTAGGGGTAACTGAGACAGGAAAACAGTATCAAGGATTCCTATGAGGTAAAAAGGTTGAAAAACGCTGATTTAGACAGTTCATTGTAACTTTCTAGTGTGCAGTCCTGGCAGCCAGCAAAGTGGACCTAATTAAAACCTGTTTAGAACATTTTATTAAAAACAGAGTTCTCAAGTTGCACACTTCTTTAGATTACAGTAGGAACCATATTTGTAGTGGCCTCTTGCCAGTGTGTGGCTTGCTTGTAGTTTTTCAAATTTATGCAGTTAAGATTTAGTTAGATTAAAATATGAGAGACAGGTTTTTAACCACTTGCCCTTCCGAGGATTTACCCCCTTTCCTGGCCATTTTTTGTGATACGGCGCTGCGTTACTTTAACTGACAATTGCGCGGTCATTGCAACGTCATGCAACGCTATACATAAATTAAGTTTATGTCATTTGTTTTCCCACAAATAGAGCTTTTTTTCTGTGGTATTTGATCATCTCTGCATTTTTTTTTGCACTATAAAAAAAAAAGACTGTCAATTTAGAAAAAAAAAAACAATATTTTTGACTTTTTGCTATAAAACATATCCAATAAAAAAATGTAAAAAAACTAAATTTCTTCATAAATTTAGGCCAAAATATATTCTACTACATGTCTTTTCTAAAAAAAAAAATCCCAATACGTGTTACTTAACCTCCCTGGCGGTATTCCCGAGTGTAGCTCGGGGTAAAGTTTCAGTACCACAAGCGCGTAACCCCAAGCTACACTCGGGCTTACCATGCGGCGCTGCTCCGCAATCCCTCGATCACTTACCTTGTCCTGCGCTCCCGCGATGTCCCTCCTGCAGTGTCCCCGGCAATGTAATCCGGCAGATGCCGGCATCTGTCATCTGGATTCCGTCCTCTGCGAGCGTCGGGACGTACGGGGGACGGAATGGTGGGAAATTTGAAAATGACAAAAAGTGACATTCACAAAAATCACTAAAATCACATAGTAAAACATTACTGTATCAAACCATTTCACATACATTTTGTCCCGAGTGCTTTGTCCTGCGCCCTGCCTGCATTTTTACTGTTCTTTCTGCCTGGAAACTGAGAAATGTCCATGGCGTCCAAAAAGCATCCCTTTAGGTCAAAAGCGGTTTTAGACCAGCTAGAGAACAGCGATAGTAAATTAGAACTACTTGCAGAATTGAGTGATAATGATTCGTGGGGAAATTTGTCATCAGACACTGAAAACGATTTTGCAACTTTGCTCAGTGATGTGCGAACTTGGCGCTATATTTCAAATTTCAGTGTTTTTGGTTTGATTATATTATTGAATTAAATTTATTATTATATTATTATTTTTTATGATTATTTATTAAATTATAATTTATGATTTAGTGTTTCAAGTTTTATCCTACCCGGGATGTTTACTAGACTCTAGTTCGGACAGATTTCAGTGAGTTATTCCTAAGAATTACAGGCCTACAATATAAAACGCCAAATTTCCATGCAAAATAATGGTACCTCTTTCAGCACCAAAAATCTGAAATAATCATACCGCCAGGGAGGTTAATTGGTTTACGTGAAAGCTATAGCGTCTACAAGTTGCAGTATATATAATGGATTTTTGATTTTTTTTTATACTAGTAATGGCAGTGAGCAGCGACTTATAGTGAGACTGCAGTGGACATTCTGACACTGGGGGGAACTAATGGCCACTGACATTTCCAGTGACACAAATACAGTGATCAGTGCTAATAAAAAGCACTGACACTGTACTAATGACACTGGGTGGGCAGGAAGGAGTTAAAATCTGTGGCGATCAAAGGATTAAATGTGTGTTGTATTGTGCTTACACTGTGTGCTGTTTACTACAGAGACAAGCTGCTTTGTATCTCTTTGCTGTGTAGAGAGAGAGAGAAAAAAGCAGTATGTCCATGCTGACAAGAGAGAGACCTGTGTTGTTTACATACAGATCTCTCCCCTCTCAGATTTAGCGGCGATCACTGCGTGTCAGCTTAGAATTGCTGCCCTGAACCCGGTGATTGACATTCGCTGCAACCAATGGCAGCACGGGTAGGGCGGTCTGTGATCTCCTTGTGATGTCCAAACAAGAAACGGGGGTGCAGTTATCACTGGGCAAGAGGGCACAGGCATTAATAAAAACAATTATTCCTAAGAAACGTTACTAAAATGTTTTTGTTTTTTTGGAGAGCTTACACATAACTGTCATGGCAAGAAGTAAGGAGAAATCTCCATAACAGACAGATATCAATAAAAACCTAACAGAGGTCCTAACCCTTCCCTGCTGAATCCAAAACCAAATCAAAAGATTTGGCCAGATTTGGACTTTGGTGCTCCTGATTTTGCAATTATTCAAAACTATATTTTCAATAAAAATATGGTAAAATTGTAGTTAGTGCACTGAACACAATGGAATTCAGAAAGACTGGCACATACAGATTTTGTGAAAGTAACTCTCATGCATTCTAAAAAGAATGAAGCGTGCCAAATTCATATTAATGTCTAGAACTTGTACTTGCAGAGAATTGTTTTTGAGGGAAATGGACTTTCCTGGTAGCGACATAGACATTACATGTGGAAAGTTAAAAACGAATGTTTTATTTTATTACAAAATACACTAAAATAACTAAAAACATCATTCCAAAAATATCACAAATGACTCTCTCACTGCTAGGCTATTATTTCCAGAACAGTACTTAACAGCACCAGATACTTATTGATGCAACATAAAAACACATATATAGCCAGCTTTCCTCAACATGTTTCACGGGAGTGTTTGAGGAGTGGGTTTCCTATAAAAAAATATTAGTATAACATAACAAATGTAGAATCAAGAGCAAAAGTATAGTACAGTCTAACTGAGATAAGGAGAAAGGGTGAGGGTGGGGGGGGGAGCTTGCCTAGCAGACCCAGGTGGACAGAGGGGGATCCAGCATGCACAGAGGCACAGCTAGTGAGCCAATAATGAGAAGGGGCAGGGCCAAGCCGTGGCTGTGTGTGAATGGACATGCAGACTAGTGGCTAGAGATTGTCCCTGCTTAGGTGTCCCCAAAGCAAGCTGCTTGCTTTGGGGGCACCCGGCAAGGGCCAGGAGTGTCAGTGGGGGACTCGTGAATAAGAGGATCGAGGCCGTTCTGTGCAAAACCATTGCACAGAGCAGGCAAGTATAACATGTTTGCTATTTTTTTTAAGAATTGCCTTTCAATATCACTTTAAATTTTGGTACCAGGAAAGGCCATTTGCCCCAAAAAACTTCTCTACATGTACAAATATTGGGACGTAGGTGCCTACTAAAATTGTTATAATAAACCATCTAGCACATCTCTTCAATTTCATAGAACTTGTACTTAAATTTTGCTCATGCTGTGCCACTTTTAGAACACATGTGAGACACTTTTGCAAATCTGTCTGAGACAGTTTTTCTCTCTGTGTGCCGAAAGAGAGTTGAACTTAATTAGCTCCAATTTTACATTTGTTGCATTCAATGCAACACAATATAAAAGTGGTGCATTTTAGAACTGCCTCAAATTGGTGTACGAGCAGCAGTCAGAACCAAATGTGTCGCAAATGCTTCATGAATTTGCCGCAATATAGTAACAAGAAGGATTAACAACAGAAAAGTGGCGCAGCAGCTTTATTGAATTCCCACCAATGGGTTTAGATATACAAATGGAGTAGAGCATGTTTACTTTGCAAAGTGAATTTTCTAATATTCTGCTTATAGTGTTGTGATTCACACTAAGTGCAAGCAGCTGGGAGAAAAAGGTATTTCTAGTAGCACCCTGTTGAAGATTTAAAGTGAATTTATGTTTAGTGAAAGAAGTGAAACTAAGTAAATATTCAGTGTCCAAACAATACCATATATGTGCAAGGAAATATTAAAAAACACATGATTGAAATCAGCACAGCTTCACCTTATCCGCTAAGCTAAGCTATGCTAACTTCAATCATCCAATCATGGTTTGAGACAAAAAACAGTTTTTTTTAATTTTCACATGCTTTTCTTTCCATGATTAGGCATTCTACCTCATTCACTAACTTAAAGTGGTTGTAAAGAATGAAGGTTTTTTACCTTCATGTATTCTGTGCATAAAGGTAAAAAACCTTCAGTGTGCAGCCCCCCCCCCCCACACACACACACACACACCAGTTCCCTCTTATACTCACCAGAGCTCAATATTCATTCAGCACTGTGCATGGGAGCCTTGACTCTCCCGGGTCTCTCTCTCCTCATTGGCTGAAACGCAGCAGCAGGGGCCATTG